CCGAGGCCATGTATAGACTGATGTGCATCTCAGTCCGACAGGGTCGTGCTGATGCACATTGTAAGAGCCGGGCACGCTATGTTGCGGCGCAGCTTTTGGCCCGAGAGTCAACACTACCACCAATCTTGCCAACAACTACATTGGGTGTCGTTGCTCAATGTATCAAGGTCTTTGACTCGCCGAAATCTATTATCCAGCTAGCTCGCGATCCAGACTGCAGCGATCGCATTGCGGTCGCATCATCAGATGGACACATTGTCGTTGTCCAATGCACGTCGATTGAGTGGCAGCAGTCTGAGTGGTCTTCCTGGGCTATTCAATGGCAGGCCTTTCAACCAAATTTAGATGTTTATTGACACAGGCTCGACAATGTGGTTTACTGTAGGCGAGCGGGGACGGAGAAAAATCCACATATTGAACCTCCCTTGGGTGCTATTGAAGCCATTGCCTGGTCAAGTCGGTTCCTCTTTGCCACGGGGAGCGGTGGTAGTCTTGAGTGCTTTCACCCAGAACCTAGTGGCCTCATCTCACCTGTAGCAGTAATAGGGATATCGGGATCTGCGCTGCCCGCGCGTATTACCTTGATTTACGATGTGAACTCCGCACACTTCAAACCGCGGCGAATAAATTCGTAAAACGTTTCAGAGGTTTCGATGCTGTAATGGCGAGGACATACAGGCAGCTGTTGGCGCTGATTCCTATCTTGCTGGAGAGGCTGTAGCTCAGTGCGTTTGCGCCTCTGCTGCGCTTGCTGTTATCGCAGCGGGGCGATCAGTAACGAGTATAGCAGCAAACAATTAGTTTATGGTTGCCGTGCGCGTGTCAGATCGATCGTTTTAGCTAAAATCCCACGCAGGTATCAATTATGTCCATGAGGGATGGCCCCGCTCACTGCGCTCTTACGACGCTCCAAACCCTGCCTAGCATGGTAGTTGATCTCCGCTTATTCAACGATGTGCTCGTGGCTGCTACCCAATGCCAAGGTGCCGTGGTTTGGAGACAAGTCTCAGGGCTCATCGCAGACGCGCCAATTCCAGTGTCACTTTTTGAGGATAGCTTTCTGGCCAGGAACTACATGAGAAGATTGCCGCGCCATTGCACGATAGCGCGATATAGAGATCGACAACTTGCGTGACGAGAGACATTTCTTGCACGTAGGCCACCTACTACGCTGCTTACCTGTGGTGGTGCCATCATTGGGCTCTGCGTGCTCGATGGAAGCATTACGATCGCTCCCTGCGCGGACGCTACTGTCCGAGTTTGGAAACAAGACAATCCTGTCTGCTTGACTCTTGGTGGTCTGCGCAGATGCAACCCAAGCTGCTGTGGTGTGCCATCCTTGAACAAAATCGGCACAATAATTGTTGCTGTCTCCAATGGAGAAGGGGGTATCCTTCTTTGGCCGATTGACGACCATACTGCTCCTTCCGATGCCCTGGGTCTCGACTCGAGATGTGCCAGGCGTCTCCCGAACATATCGCAGACTGCAAAAGCTGTCGAAGTGGTAACTTCCGGTAAAAATGAGATCCTCGCTACTTTCGATGATGGATCGCTTAAAGTATTCCAGCTGACCAATGATGAGGACGGCCTGAACGCAACACTATTACACACTTACTTTACACACATTCGATGGGGATTTGCAAATCTCATGCCCAGTGGCCGACAAAAAAAAGGGCCTATCTTTGCTACGCGAGCTGGTCGCCCTACCTCGCTCCTTCTCACTTGGGTGTGACGACTTAATCAACTTCACTACTTGGTCCCGACTATCCTACTGTGCGAATTTTTGTTGCAGTTATGTTGCTCCTTTGGTGAACTTTCAGGTCGTGAGTCAAGATCGGCCTCCAGATTCTAAAGCGGCGAGCGATTAGAACTTCTAACCATGTCCGTCGACGAGCCTCTCGGCGCGGCCCTCCGCGACGCCGGCGGCGCGCGCGGCGCGGTCGCGGCGCGGCGTGCGGCGGCGCGTCGCGTCGTATCGGCTGGTGCCGAGGGATGGTTGAGAATCGCCACGCGCGCGCCCCGCGCGTTCCTAGGCGCCGTCGTCGAGGCCGTCGTCGTCGCGCTTCGTCGTCGTCGGACGACGTGATCATCGGGCCTGGGAAACCCAACGAAGCTGAGTTTGCGAGTTGCCCCCCTCCTTAGTCGCCCTTAAGAGCCCCGTAAGAGCCCCGGGTCTGGCGCCTAACATATCCCGCCGGCGCAGGGTGGAAAGCAGATGAGCTCGCTGTGCCGGTAGCCGCGCCAGCATCCTGCTAGTTTCCCTTCCCTTCCTTAATTCATTCTAATCCAGTTTCAAGTCTTCAGCAAAGTCCAAACTGATAAAGCGGCGAATATCGCCCTTAGAACGCGAGTGTGATTAAGCACAATCAAAGTGCGCTTGGCGATAAGCCAGCTACCTAAGGAGCCTACATTCCGCTCCTTGGGCTATACTACCCTAACTCGGGACTATGCTATCCTCCCTATGCTGGGACGCTCATACTGGCCTATGCTGGCTATGCTAAGTCTGCCTTATACTGGCTATGCTCATGCTGTACTATGCTGGTGCTTCATACTAGCATACGCGGGTTCTAACACAAACTGGCTGTTGCCAGAAGTCTTTATAGGCAGGGGATGGCTAGACGAGCCACTAGACTGGTGCAAGATCATCTCTGGTTAGCGTCGCAGCGACTCGGACGTGCCAGAGAGCACCAGGCTCAGCGAGGGTGCACAGTCGCCGGACAGTGCACCTGCTGGATAGTAGTTTGACTGGCGTCATAGTGACGTTAGGAGGCTAATAAACTATCCTAACTCCCTAAGGGCTCCTCTACCGTGATCCCGCCCTAGTAAAAACGGCGATGCTCGCGCAAAAAAAATCGTGCTAAAAATATAAATTCTCGCCGCCATGACGGCGTGGGTTACGGGTGCACACTCATCCATCGCCACCGTGGGCACTCGGCGTACTTGACTGAATTGACTAAGTGCAACTTGAGCTCTGTAGATAAAAACTCGGCATCGTGTAGCTGAAGTGCACATAGACGGCCTCGCGCTGTTGAAGCTTGTTCGGGAACAGGGTCTGATTCAACATGGGTACTCGACTTGCCTGCATATAGGTCAAACATTGTCGTGACTCACTTCCGAAGATGGTGGCGGGATCACTATTGGGCCTTGATCAGGGGTCAATTTTGGAGGTGACGCATTGTTTCCCCTTTCCTTCCCCTGGCGATCGAGAATCATATGGAGACGTTGATTCGGGTAGTGTGATAGAAGATCTTGATGGTGAAGAGTACCAAATGGAGATGATGAAGATGTTGCGCGAGGTAAATGTGGATAATAATTGCGTTGGATGGTACAAGTCCATATATGTTGGTTCATTTTGTCAAACTCCGCTCGTTGAAACCCAATTTAGTTATCAAGACAATCTTAGCGATAATTGTGTCGTTCTACTCTATGATCCTGTCGAAACCGGCAGGGGCACGTTAAATGTGAAAGCATTTCAGCTCTCAGAACAATTTATCGCATCGTATCGCGTCAAGTCGAATACATTTGTGGCCCCGTCTTCGATCCTTGTTGAGCTTCCTCTGAAGATACGCAACCCCGGGCTCATAACAGCGTTCTTGTACGACCTCTGCGTTGCGGGCGTGCTCAAACGGCAAATAGTCACCGCTGCCTCTGACTCAAACAAAGTTGCGCCCCTTGAGCGCTACCTCGAGCATTGCTGCCAGTGGGTAGATGATCTAATTGAAGAGCAGGGCAAGTTCCAATACTATTTACGTAATATCGAGCGCCATAAGGACCAAATGCGATGGCATAACAAACGCAAAGCTGATGGGGAACACGAGGATGCTGATGCACCCACGTGGAAGAACACCACAGAGCCGTCCAGACTCGATTCCCTTCTTATAGCTAATCAGATTAAGCAGTACTGCTCACAAATCAGTGTCCATTCCACATGCGCTCTATCAAAGATCCATCTCAGCAGTGGTATCAGAGTGAGCACGTAGCTTAATCTTTTGTACAAGTTTAGCTAGAAGAGCTCTTGAAATTGCCAAAAGGTCAGGTCTCAGCATAAGCGATTTTATGGATTGATATATTTCGGACATGTACAAGTGGAAGGGCGCAACTCCAAGTTTCTTCATTGCGCGCACGGGATTACGTGACGATGCCAGAGGTGTGTATCTGCAAAAAGTCAATTACACTGTGAATTTGGAATCTACTTGGCGTCCTGCAATGTGCCAGGCTGCAGCAGCACCCACTCGCCTGGCAATCTTAAGTTCTGGTCTCGGCGCCCCCTGCACACCCTGTGCACACCCCTGGCACCCCCCCCGCCAACCTAGGCGCCAAATGACGTGAGCCGTCGCCACGGACTAGGTCCAAAAACACGCGCGTGTGGTACAGCGATACAATCACAGGGCCCCTCCCCTCTACTGGGACCACTACTAGGCTTACCTCTAGGCCCCTAGGCCCCTTTCTCTTCCTTAATTCAATAGAAGGGACACAGGGCCGGCACCCGCGTCCGGGGGTCGCCTTCCCGGTGCCTGTGTATCCGCCGCCGCGGCCAGCGGACTTGTAGGGTAGTCCGTGGGGGCTGCTGGGGTCATGCGCCGAGGTGGCCGGCTCGGAATCGAGGCCATGGCGTCGCCGCGCGCGCGCGAATGCGAGCTTCCCTTAAGCTTCCCATTGGTCGATTCGAACCGAGCTAATGTTGCACTCGACTCGGCGCGGCGCTCGTCCTCCGAGAGGCAGCCCCTCGCGCTGAGCTGGTCGTGGAGCGCGACGCCTGGAGCCTAGGTGGCGGCGGTGGACAACTCGTACCCATGGGTGACTCCGGAGGTGCTCTGCTCGCAGGAATTGGCTGTGTCGTTGAACGCTTGGGCGTCGGAGCGGCGATTCCCAGTGGTGGCACAGCTTCTGATTAAATGATTCTGCAAGGGAGGAGTTTACCTTGCTTCCTTCTCGGGGCTTCCTTTAGCCTCAGGCTAGTGGGAGATACGAAAGGCCAAGTGGACGGAATCTGCGACTTTAATCTCTAGTTTGGGAGCGGAGTTGGTAGAGTGGCTGCATTATTACAATGGACGGTGCATTCCAGTATGGCGGCGAGTACCCAGAGTGACTTGAGCCTGGAGATCCTGGTGGCCTAATTCCAGCACCACAGCCGAGAACATAGCCCGGGTAATCTCGCCAGTAATTGCCAGAATCTCGACGTGCCCCAGTATGTATATCGCTCCAGGCATTCGCTTCGTGGCTTTTGCGGTGGACTCCGTCTGACCTTTCGAGCCCAGCTGCTCGCGGACGCCCTCAGGCTGATTGCCGGCAATATACCAGGGTATGGTATTATGCCAGTAATTACCGGCAATTGCCGAGGCCGCCCGGGCATTATCCGGCAATCTCGCCGGGCCATTTAGCCGAGAGCAGCTACAAGTGTGCAATGGGTGACCCGCCGAACAGCCGGCACTCCGCTGGTCCGTTGTGGCTGCTTTACCGTCGTTTCAGCCGGGCGACCCCGCTGCGTCAGTCATATTCTAACACCTGCCGTTGTCGGCGAGAAACACCTCCACAGCCTGCTGCTCGAAGAGGGTGTACTGGGGCGAAATAGACAACAATTGGCAAAAAGTTCCCGTCCCGAGTTAGAGGGAGTCATCTTTATTGTATGACACATGCACACACTGCGGTCGCGCTTTCGTCTTCTTCTGTAGGCTTCTTTGAGGTAGTAGCTACATTGAACGGACCTCAATATACCAATTGCATGGTTGCATACATTTCACGCTCACCCATTTTACACGATACCGTTTCAAGCTCACGAATGCATATATTTATGGGAGTTGGATGTGTCGGGAAAATTGGGACCTTGCAGGCTGCGCGAATGTCGAAGGGACCATTGAAATTTGGCCTCATTGAGCGGGGTTAGAGTCATGCAAACCTTCAAGTGTTTTATGGTCAGATAGAATTCCTTGTCCCATGCAGACGAGTCTGAGTTGGTCGGGGCTCTTTACTTTCTTCAATGCTATCATTAAGGTGACTGAGTAGAAATGGGGCGCGCGCGGGAGGGGGGGGGGGGGGGGGA